AACGGGCCGAAATGACGGGACTTAATGATACGATTGTCGACGTTACTTCTGTGCGTCACTCGCGAGGGGCCATGGTACGATTTGAATATGTTGGCCATTTTTTCTTTTTTTTTTTTTTTTTTCAAAGGACATGCTACATTGGGCGGCCATTCCACCGGGCACCGTTTGACACTCGTTACTTCATTATATTTTCCCTCTCACGGGAGGTTTATTTTTAACAAGGGCTGATGAACCACCGCGACACGTCACACCCCACACCGTGGGGGATTTTAATTTCCCCAGAAATATCATCGTCCACCCTAGGGTCCAGGGTGCGTCGCTTTGCAGTAGCTATGCACTTTTATGGGGCTAATTGAGGTTTCGTCGGTCCTTTCTCGTGTAATATCGTCATTACTCGACCCATCCCGATGGAGACCATGCGTAGGATCGCGTTAATGCGGCCTGATCGCTTTTCCTTTTTTTTCCTGATTTTTTTTTTCTCTCCCTCTCTCCTCCCTTCCCTTTTTCTTTTTTTATCGAGCGGCTGGAAAATATAGCCGCGCGATGAAAACCCACGTAGGGAGGTGGGATTTACCTAATAAGGCTGCAAAGGACATCTACGATCTCACCTGATAATCGTCGGTGCATGGTCGTTATCCATCGAATGCAATTATCGATTGGAACGGCGATTTCACTTTTGGAAAATCTTGGAGGATCTCGCTCCTCTTATCACGTCGTCAGAGGTTTTCCCGCGGCCGAGGGACTCGACATTACGGATTTGTCCAGTCCTTATCGGGTTTTTTTTTTTTTTTTATAAATCGCTGTAAGGGCCGCGCAAACGAGTCCTTATCGTCGAGAGGGCGGTTTCTTATGGAGGTCGGTGATAACGCGATAACGCCCTTGTAAACGATTTATATCTCGATGCGTTGGCTACGTTCCTGATGTTGAGTTCCAGGGAATCGCGATCCAAGGATCCTACGAATGATAAAGGGAGGAAAAGGAACGATGATAAGGGGAGGAAAGGGTGCAGGGGGAAAAGGGTTAACGTTTTATACGTTGAATTTTTCCGGGGGGCAGGGATTATTTTTCTTGGTCGAAGGGAGGGGAGGGAAGTACTGGACCTATATTTCTGACACCTTGACCAGGACCCCATCATCCGGATTTAATCAGAGTTAATCAAGATTACCCTAGTGGGGGTGGGGCGAGGAATGGTAAAAGGACGAAGGGGAAGTAAACAAGACCAAGATTGTTTGCCCGGTAAATAGTGCGACCTGTTACTCGAGGTTTCGCCTCGGGATAAATACTTATCCGCGTACGATATGAGAAGTCGAGAGACGATGACGTCGGAGGACGCTTATCACGAGGTAACGAGAAGGCCCTCGGAAGGGACGGATCCGATGGATGGAAATATTGCAAAATGTCATTTCCTCCTGGTAATGTATTAATAGTTTCATCGTCGGCAGCTGGTATTTCCATCCGTAGTCACGGGAAAGGAAGAAATCGCCTTTTCGACAAACTTTGCCGAACGGCTCCGGCCCGGCGCGCGCTTCGCTTTTGCATATTTTATCAAATTATTTTCCCCCGGCTACGGGGGAGATGTAACTTCTCCCGTGGAAAAAGGGAGGAATTACTCGGCGGAGTCTCGTAAATAAAGTTTTCCCCGGATGTTTTACCATCTGGGACAATATGCAACGCTAGGACCGAGGATGGGGACGTTGTCGCGGTCTCGAGTTTACGAATGGATCTCAGTTTTCCGAAGTATCGAATCTTCGCTGGGGAAGTTTAATTAGTTCTTTTCCTAGATGCGGCTTTGACTCGACTTGATTATTTGTTCGCGGGGACATTTTACCTCCTCCTACCGATTTTAATTCATTTTACTCTAGGCCGTGTTGTCCCCCCAGTAGTGGTGGTCGGTGCAGGTCGGACTACTTTGGCTCCCAGTAGTCAGTGGTTGGTGCAGGTCAGACCACTTCCCTAGTGGTGCGTCTTTACGACGTTTTCTTTTTTTTATCTTCTAGTCAATCGTCGCCGAGTCTTCGGAAAATGGGAGAAGAAACAACGTGGCAAGGCGCAAGGATCCAACCTGCAGATTCAATTCCGCGATATATACCTCTGGTGTCGCAATAAAGAGGGGCCATAAGAATCGATTATTCCTTCCGCAGGACGTCCGGGAGAAGCTCTTTTAACCTTGAATCATTGTAGTCCGTGTAGCCGGAAGGCGATTCCTTTTCCAGGCCATGAAAATAGGCGCCTTTCAAAGTCTTACCTTGGAAAAAAAATAAAAATAAAAATTCTTTCTCCTCCGAAAATGAAGTAGGTGGTCTGGATTTCGATTCGCGAGTTCGTACGATCAACTTTTACATGCGAAATTAACACTTCCGTATAAGACTTTCAAATGTTGACCAATGACGGGACTTTGCAACAATGCGAAATTTTTCCTGCGAATCTATACGTACGCGGAAAAAAAAAATCTGTATTAATTTAGAATGCAAAATTAACAGTCTTGTATGAGACTTTGAATGGCGTAGATTTTCCACAGAGTAGGTAAATCATCTCGAAGGAGGTTCCCAGATTTTTGGGGAGATTCTCAGAGTAAGGTTCCAGAGGAAAGGATGCTCGGGTAATTTCTACACGCGGCATGCCGTGAGTTCCATTAATTAGGTTGAGCACAGGACTCTCCTCCCGGGGGAGAATTTCCGGCAGGGAAAAGAGAATGAGGATTGTCCGACACAGGGGTGAGCCACTGGTAGGTGTAATTGAAAAGCCGAGCCGAGGACTTCGCGGCTCGGGAATTACCTCGAATAAATTAAATGCCGTTAATGAACCTGGACGGCGAGTCGTTATCGCGCCGTTTCCGGATTTCTCCCTTCCCGAAAGGAATTTTTCTCGCCCTCGAAGCCCCGGGATCGATGTTTATTCAACCACTTGAATCCTTTACCATTAATCCTGCATTAACAACGGCCGAACAATTTGACGCGCATTATTCGCGGGGAAATTCTCGACTACACCATATCGGTCATGAAATTATTTATTGAGGCAGGTTTTAATGATGAATGCCACGGATTAGAATTACAAATTAACAGCTGCCCCGATTGTTCGATCTGGTACCTGTTACCAAATATTTCACGATATACATGGACCCTCGTTTTTCACCTGAATTTCCCTGATTTCCAATTACCGCGAGATCCGCAAACGAGCCTCGTTAAGGGGCACGCGAGATACACGTTTAACGCACAAGACGTGATCGGATTAATAACCTACCCCGTGATTTCCAGTCGGAAGACGTAACTTTAACTGTCGCGCTTAACTTAGAATTTCGAAAATCCCTGAGCCCTGTCGTAAAAACCGCCGCACGTAAGGGAAATAAAATGGAGAAAGTAAGTAAAAGGAAGTAAGAAAAATAAAAATGAGAAAGATAGTAAAAGAATATTCCAAGGACTCGTGCTGGCGATTTATCGAAATTCCGACCGGTAGATCGGTTTTATATCCATTTAGAGGAATGTATAAAAAATAGTGATGACAAAATAATTTACCCGGCGGTCCTCGGCAATTATTTTTCCGCCAATTACCGGAGAGATAGCCAATGGATTTGACTTGTCCGTCGAGGTGGAAGGTGCGTGCGCAACGATCGTTGTTACCTCCGAAAAGCCGGGACTTCCGGGACGGTTTTCGATCCGGAGGATCCAGGAAACGCGTGCCTGGCGACTCGTCCTTCTATTTAATTTACCTCATCGCGGGGGTCACGCATCCTGCGTGATCCTGGGATCGCGTGAGACCCTCGGGATTACTCCTTCGATCTCGAGGAGAGATCCCGAGGAAATCATCGGGACGCGTCACGAACGTTTTCCGACTCGTCAGAGGTGTACTCGACGTGCCGGGATTTATCGGGTCGGGAAATTTTCTCGCCATTTCGGGGGGGTTTCCTCCCCCCGTGTCAGGATTTCGATGGCGGGACGTTAAAGTGGACTTCGATTACGGGATGTCAGTGGATTTCGATTAGGCGAATGGAACCCTACGTGCCTATTATCGATTCGGTGGGGAAAATCAGCCCGTGGACGTGAAGTCATTAGTGCTCGATATTTCGCGGCGAGGAACCGTGATAGGTCCTAGGCGAAATTTTTTATCCCACCCAGGACCTCCAATTGTAGGTCTTAAATGGGTCTTGACACGTTGTACATGAAATTAAATTGTGTTATAAGTTGTCGCGGGAAAAAAGTGCCAAGTGAAATTGAGGGGTACTTTCATGTTTGAGGTCCCACTTTAGAACTTCCATTTTTTACACTCGTAGGCCTAAGGTAGGACTAAATTGGAGTACATAAGGGTATACATGGTTGAAAGGAGGATTTAAAAAAAAATATATATATACATGTATATTAATTGATTCCGCTGTCGAATCGGTCGAAGTGGGCGGCGCGGGAGCTCGGGAAGTATGTAACAGCTGCTCCTCTCCCGAGTAATGGACGCCATTAATGGGGACGGCTCATTCCCGGTGGTCGATCCTCGGCGAGACCCCGTGGAACCTCGAAATCGATTCGTCGAAGCTGCAACGGAGATCCGCATCCGCGGGGTTGCACCACCCGCGAAGGATAAGGAGATGAGGTATCGACGTCGGTTCGGTATCCGGAACTCCGAATATGCCGGCCGATTTATCTGGGACGTTTCCACGCGGCGGGGCCATCGATCAAATTCCGGGTTTATCGGCCACTCATTTTTCACCAGGCCCCGATTGAATACCTTAGGACCTAATGGCAGCCTATTAGGACACTCGTGAGAAACTGATGATCCCGCTGACCCGACAATGCGAACGGATTCGCGAAAGAACCGTCGAGGTGGGACGATTGATCTTCGCCGTTCTTCTCGCGACCCCACCTTAAGCCTTTGTCTCTTGGCCCCCCCAAAATGGAGGCTTAACCCTTCTAGTGCCGACCGAAGTCGTTAGCACTTGAAAAACCACGATATATCGGTGTTTGGTGCTAAAAGGGTTAAAGGGAAATTATAACCGATTTTTTCTTACGTTCTAGACGGCGTCGAAAGGCCTCCACGTGGCGCTCAAAATGATGCTGATCGGCTTTCTGGCGACTACCGCGATGATCTCTCTCGCCCGATCATCTTCGATCTCCTACTCGACGTTTCGCAGGAGAGAAGTGCCGATGCTGGATCGGCCCGAAGTCCTTCTCCTGTTCGATCGGGCACCGAGTCTGGAGGTGAGTCGACCTAGGCGAGTCTCCACCTCGAGGGTGGAGGTCCATCCCAGAAATTCATAGCTCCGTGTCCTTCCTATGAAATCTCATAACTTCTGCCCGACTGACCGGGACGGCCATCTCGACCTCCTCCTAACTTCCCCTTAAGGTGATGTTAAAGTGGCGTCAAATTGGTATCGATCATGAAAATGTGAATATCGAGTCTATAAAGAAGGTCCTGACACCCATGAAATTTGAATGAAAAAAAAAAATTGTTCATTGATATCGTCAGAATTTTTTATAAAAAATGAAATTTCGTGTCAGACACTTTCACGTACCCTTAAGCACCCTGTTGATATTTCCCTTGTTCCTGAAAGAGGGGATTCCTCGATAACGTCGCGTTTATTCCTTGTTTTCCTATTAAGATCTTTTATGCCCGCGATGTAAGTGGAATCCTACGGTAAAGGTTTGCCGAGCTGGTCCTGTTGCGCCCTGTTTGCCCACGTGCGTGCGAAATGAGGTTATGTTCATGTGTACCCACGTGCTCGCTGATCGGGCCGGACGCATAATAAAGGACTATGATTTTTCGATACGTATATGACACGCAATTTCCGTGTCAAGTGTAAACGGGATCAGGAATAAGGACAAGGGAAAGCTTCCGAAGTTGTGGTCGCGTAGAGAGGATGCGTAATTATTAGATTTACATATTAAAGCTTGGTTTAGGGTGTTTACACGGTTCTATGTCAATGTCGGGTGCCGGGAGTTCGATCGATAATGCGTGTTGCGGGTCTTTTTAACGTCGACGCTTCGCCTATAGGATTTCTGCTAAATAAAGCGGCGAACGTCCAATCGGATGGAGCAAGTTTAATTAGCTTCGTTCACACCGGGGGAGGATGAATTCCCCTTGAAACTACAAATACTACTATCTCAGAAGTGGGTGGATCATTTGAGACGATTCGGTTGATCCAGTTTGGAGAAAAGTCGCATGAGCGTTAAGTCTCATCTCGAATTGCCGCTTTCGCATCGCCTTAATCTTCGGTGGGAACGGAATTAACGGCGTGGACGGGATTCCTCTCGCAAGATTTCTCTCTCGGGAATGATGTCGCGCTAACGAAGAGGGAGGGAAAGACGCGAAAAATGACAAAAATGCGGCCTTCTAGTGCTCGAGATTCTCGGCCCCGTGGGCCTTGAGGGTTCCTCCGGGCTTTGATGCATTCCCCGAGCATAGTGCTCGAATTTGCGGGACACTTTTCAAGGTGCGCCACTTTAAGCGGGATGCGAGCACGTCATGTGCTTGATGTGCATAAAACGTCGCGTAAAGTCATTAAACGGAGTCTCGATCCTACTTAACTCGGGAACTTAACTTAAGAGTCGAAATTTCACTTTCTACCGAAATTTGGAAAAATGCCTATAAACAAATTAATAGAAAAAATGGAATTTTCATGGGTATTGGGAAGTTCCTTGTAGCCTCCATATTTAAGTAGTACAATTTGAAACGATTCGGTACACCCAGTTCAGCTTTCACATCGCCTTAAGGTGATGTGGCGCTCATGAGATTTCAATTTTTTAAAAATTTGTTCATGGGTGCTATTAACATTTTAGATAAAAAATGAAATTTCATAAGTGGCAGGATCTTCCTTATAGCTTCTATATGTGAAGTTTGAAACGATATATTCAGTTCAGAGAAAAGTTTCATGAACGATCATCCCTCAAATGCCACTTTCACATCCCCTTAATGATACGTGCGAGCGTCGCTGTGGGGTTTGCACTACCTTTTAGAGAATTATTTCCCTTTCGGGGGATTGCAGGGATTAGAGAGTCGCCAATTAATTAATCAGTACTCGCTGCGCAGATTTATTAATATTGTCGGTGGTTTTAGAACGAGCCTTTCGACTCGAGCAACGAGCCGGCGTCCTCGCTGGTGCGTCCCAAGAGGATCGGATCTCTGTCCATCGTGAATCCTCTGGACGTCCTGCGACAGCGGGTCCTGCTGGAGCTGGCCCGCAGGAAGATGCGCCAGGATCAGCAACAGGTCGACGCCAATCGTCGATTCCTGGAGACCATCGGGAAGAGGTCCGTTCCTAGTCTCGAGCCGAAGGACTTCAGGGACTCCCAGGACCTGGAAGAAGACCCTGAGGTCGACTCGGCCAACGACGACGACCCTCGCCGATCCTTGCCCAGTCGGCATCCAGGAGAGGACCGGGATGGACCGGTCGCTCCTGGCAGGAAAACCAACAGGATCCAGGATTGGCTCGACTCTGACGACGACCTGAGGAGGAGCCAGGACGATCGGACGCGTAGGGTAATTTTTTATCCTTCCTCTATTCGAGTCCCGCCAAGTACTGGAGTCAGAAACCCCATTAGGATATTTAATTCCCCATGCAATAACCATTTTTTATTATGAAATTAAGGAAAATCCTTTCTCTTCCTCTCAGATGCAGCTCGACGAGCTGCACCTTCTCTAACTTCCGAGTTCAACGAATCGAGAGGGGAAAGAAGCCCGAAATTGAGACTGGCAAACTCCTCGCCCATCCGTGTGCGGTTCTCCAGGTTGACGACATCATCCATGACTTTTCCGTAGACCGAGGAAAAGGAAACGCCACCGAGCCGAAGATATGTTTCCTTGGACAGTGCCTGAGGAACGGTTTAATAATTCAAGGAATAATCCCCTGAAACGATCCTCTGGAATCGTGACTAGTTATATCGGTTCATTAAGGTCTGATAATTATTCCTTGAATTAGAGGTACATTTCTTTGGGTCGTGAACCCTCTCTTTTTCCTCGGTCCTCGGTTTCGATCCCAGTTGAATTCCTCTCTGCCGTTCGGTTCCCCGACCTCGAGGAGGACCTCGACGGACCACCTCGTGGAGTCGGCGATGTCGACCGATCGCTCCCAAGTATTCAACTCTTCTAGGGCATTGTTCATTTCGGTAGTTCGACTTTGGTAGAACCTTGTCTCCTGTAGATTGACCAAATACGTCTAAGGCTCGAGAGGGATTCATCGACGGTAGAGTTGTCCCCGTTGTCGTAGATGTTTAGCGGCTACTTTATTAATTGACGTTATCGATAAGTAAGCAGCCATGTTCTAGAAAATGCTTCCAAGAGGGCGACGAAGAGGTCGGTCCCTGGTCATCATTTCCACTTCCGGATCCGCGTGATTCGGGAAATCTTAATCGGAGACCTTAAGGTGATACGAAAGTGGCGTTAAGCCGATGTGAAAGTGGCGTCGAAGAGGTTTGCTTATAACACTTTTCTCCCAGCTCGATATTACCGAATAGTTTGAAACTACAACGTGAATAGGGGGACTATAAGGAAGATCCTGAAACTCATGAAATTTCAATTCTTTTCAAATTTCTTTATAGGTAGTTTAAAAATAGTTTATAAAAAATGAAATTTCCCGAGTTCCAGGACTTACCTTAGAGTCTCCATATTCACGTTTTAAAGTATGAAACGATTTGAGACACCCAGTTCTATGAAAAGTTTTATGAACGATTGAGCTTTCGGATATCACTTTCACATCCCCTTAAAGAGATCTCGTGGAATCTTTCTCCGACCTGGATACACCGAATCCCTTGAAACTTTCCATCGTGACCAAGGAGGCTATGAAAGAAGTCCTGACACCCGTGAGATTTCCTTTTCTTTTTTTTTCTCAATTTGTTTATAGACAATTAAAAATATTTCGAAGATAATGGAACTTTATGGGTGTCGGGACCTTCCTCGGAGTCCTCGTACTCACGTGGGAATGTTTAAAAAAATTCGGTAATACTCGATTTGGAGAAAAGTTTCGTGAGACCTTCCATGACACTTTTCGTGACACTTTAAGGGGGGAGCACGGCTGGTGCCGATTCCGCCGATGGTAGTTTATTAATAAACACTGTCGCTTAAGTTCGTACGTGCTGTCGCTATTTAGTTACGAGTCGAAACGAAGCAGTATTATGCGTTGTGATTTTTCCCAAGGGGAAAGGAGAAGTCTCTCTCCCTCGGAACGGATCTCATAAGTGCGTTGATCGCCCTCTGGGGATCCGGCTAACCCCCCACGTTCCGTATTCCCGATATTAGTTAATTAATTAATATCATTGATCACTTATCAAGGATCAACGTGCGTTAAGAGTGCCGATAGATTTAATATTTCATTGTCTACGTCGTCGGGACTTACGACGACTTTCAGGCCAGAAGTACGTTCTAATTGTTAATTACCACCCCGTTATCAGTTGCGGACGATACGGATACGGAACGCAGCGGGGTAAACGTCGGGAACAAATCGTCGAGTTCCTCTTATTTTCTCGCCGACTCTTTTCATGGGAAACTCCTTGAACTCCTAATTAATTAAACTCGAAAACTCGCGTTATGCGGTGTAGAACGCGCGCGCGCAACCTACGTTACACCCACACACACCCACACGTACATATACACGGACACGAATAAAGGAGTCAAGTGCAAGGAAAGTCATGCGTACACATTGTCGAGGAAAATGGAATGCGAACACGGGGCCTTTCTCGATAACTCTCAGGAGTACGCCGCGATGGGAAGAGGAAATGGAGCCCGGAGTTTCTTCTGATAACGCTAAGGAACCCCTGACTCCATTTGGCCCTTTTGTTATCGACATCGATTCCGAAAGAACTCGAACCAAGCGACCACTCCGACACCCTGTAGACGCGATGTAAATCCGTTCTCTCGTTCCTGCCGATCGAAATGCACCCTTAAGGCGATGCGAAAGCTATCTGAGAGCACTTGTATATGAAGCTTTTCTCCTAATCGGATGTCCCAAATCGTTAAAAATGTTCACCTCGCGATCGTTAAGGCTGTAAAAAAGGTCCTGATACTCGTGAAGTTGGGGTTTTTTAAGTCGCTTTAATGTTGAGACTTTAAGGAGCTTCGTTGTCACGAGGTGGGATTTTAAAGACGATTTGTTTACACCCCGTCCGGAGAAAGATTGTACGAACGATTAGCTTCTTCGATGCCGCTTTCGTGTCGCCTTAATGCCTGGATATTATTCCTTTAAGTGCGTTACAGCGGTAAATGTGTAAAAGTACAAACCGTAGAGTCTTAGAATTGTGTCGGGAGTCGTTGAGGGTGGAAGTTCCCTCTCGCGAATTCGTCACGAAGGTACCTGCTCGTATTCAAGATGGCGGCTCGTCTCGACGAGACGCTCCAAGTGGTCTACCTCTCCGTTCAATTAGTAGAACTAATTTACGCTCATAGTACGGTGGTACAGGGGGAGTATGAAGGATGGATTGACGTCGTAGTTTAAGGATATTCCCCTCGGGTTATTGTAACGCCTTAATAAGATGTAGTTTCCGTTGAGGATGGTCTCGGCTAGCGCCCCTACGTTCGGACGCCATTTTCCTCGGTGCGCTCAACGACGAAACTCGGAGAGAATCGATGCTTTAAACTCAAATCTACGTATACATCGATGTTAGATTATAGGAGAGAAGATGTGCTAAATAATTGTGACGCCTCGTACAATGCCGACATTCCGAGATTTTTCATGGGTTCGAGGATATTCATTTGGCGGCGTCGGAGAGGACACCCGCTAACCGACGCGCGCTTACTTATTTATTTATTTATTTATATCCCCTACCCCCTCCGGTATATTTATTTATTTACACGTGTACATAAGAACGTGCGTCTTATTTATTCGATTGTGCGAACTAGGCACGCGTTGCGTTAAGTAGTCCGTGCCCTCAGGCGGAACGGAACTTAATTAGTTGTAATAAAAAGTTGCGTTTCCAATAAAACTCTCATGTGCGATGCGCTCACTACGTCACCTTATGACTCGATACCAGGCGGGAGCGAATGTCAAAGGATGTTCGACGAATTTAAACGCATATTCGTTAATAATCGCACTTATCACGTCCTGGATGAATTGAATCGATTTTAAATTTTACCACGTGGACGCGGACGCCCGAAGGAAGGTCTCTCGACGTCCGTTAAATGTGATTCTTAAAAAATTTGCAATTTATTTTATATGTATAAAGTGAATTAAATTTCACGTGATATATCAAACGATTTGGTACACCGTTAAACGGTTTAGTATGTCGGTAACGTCCAACGAAGAACGATTCAACGCCATCTAGTAGACAACTCGGTGGGTAATTTCGGATTTATCGACGAGTTTCCCCACGCCAGGATGGTCAGCGTCTAGTTTCAGTTACGGTCGATAACGTTTGCAGGTATTTATCGTTACCTAGAGCGTTCCACCTTTCCGACTATCGGCGGCCATCTTGGTTTCTTCGCGGCGGCGCCGGGGCGTAGCCGCGGGGAAAGGTTAGAAGCGGTACAAAGTGCGGCCACATCCCGCGTCGCGTCCGTCGGTGTCACGATTCCGTCGGCCTCGATACGCGGAATTATGCAATCCTGTGCCGCTCTGTCGATTCGAGGAGAGCCCGGCAAGTTAAAAAATTTTCTTTAAAAATCCAAATCTTGAACGTGTCAGGACAATTAAATGATCAGGAGTGATATGTCAAAGTTTCGGACAGTTTGGTCGAATGTCCTTAAAAAAAGTGCTGTATTCGAATCGACTTATTTGAAGGGAGTTTCACTTCACCTTAATTCCTACAGGGGCGGCCATAATTCCGACATACTTCCTAAAATGGCGGCGGCCATTTTAATTCCCGAGGTCGCTGGAAGGTGTTCGAAGGTGCCTATCGAACCACGTCCTATGATGCGCATAACCCAAAAACTCCCGTTTTCCTGGACCGAGAGAAATAATTCATTGAAAAGGAATATCGAGTTAAATTCAAAGGACAATTATCCGGCTCTAAGGTAGGACAAGTCGTTTCAATTCCGAAGAAAGGGCAAGAACCAACCGGTTCGAGTTCACCAGGGCCGCGTAATTATTATTTGAATCCTCGAATCCTTTTTCCAGTGTGCGGTCCGATTTATGTTAGAGGTCAGTCAAGGGTTACGGAGGAGTCCTCGGGTCCGACAATGGTGTCGATGTCGGAAGTGTCCCTTGACACGGCAGGAGGCACTCGAGTCGGCGTCGCGACGCACCAGGTACGCGGCAGGTATGCCGTCGAGAAGTCCCACCTACGCCTCTCTTTCCTCCTCCTTCCCTCCCCCACCCCGCAGACCGTCGTCTCCCCCTCTTCCAAGGTTCGTTCGACTCGGTTCCCTCGGGTTCCCCTTCCAACCCGGTGTCCAGTTATGTTACCGCGGCCAGCTCGGCTTCGGCTGAAAGGAACACCGTGAACGATCTCGCCTCCATCCGGTTGGCCAACGTCGGCCGGCATCCTCGGCATCCTCTGACGCCGCGACGTCGGGCCCGGGCTCCGGGAAGTACTCCTGTGGCAGTGGTTCCCGTGACCCTATCCCTGGAATGGGGGAAGATCCACGGGAACCGGGAATGCCGGGACCTCGGCCTCTGCGACTCGCCGGAGACCTTGGTGAGTGTCTGGACGGGTCCCGGGGGCCTCCACGCGTCGTCCCGGTTTTAGGGCTCCCACCTGCCATGTTGGATTCCTGGCCATCCACCGTTTCGATTCTCCCGATTATCCCGATTACGTGGGACGGATAATGTATAATCGCTACGGGGAGGACCCTCGAGGATCTTGCGCAGCGTGGAGGCCCTTGCGAACGGTCCCTAGTAGCGCAGAATAATTTATAAATATTTTTTTCTCCTCATCTTTACTGAATATCTCCAGCGACAGATCTTTGAAGACGTCTCATAGACCTCACTTGAAGATATGTAAAATATTTCTTGGAAATCTTAATGATAGATTTAGTTTTAATAAATTATCATAAGGTATGCACTTTTCGATATCGCATGATGATCCCGATTAAATGGGACGGATAATGTATAATCGCTACAGGGAGGACCCTCGGGGATCTTGCGCAGCGTGGAGGCCCTTGCGAACGGTCCCTACTAGCGCAGAATAATTTCTAAATATTTTTTCCTCATCTTTGTTGAATATCTCAAGCGACTGATCTTTTAAGGTGCCTCGTAGAACTCTCTTGAAAATATATGAAATATCTGTTGGACATCTCAATGATAGATTTAGCTTTAATAATTTATAAACATTTACCAATGCGGAATTCCAGACACGGAGGGGGAAAGTTCACGTCCGGATTTCTTGCGACGCGTCACGGCGGAGTCGAGTTTACGTGGGTGGAGATCGAACCCGTTTTCGGCCGGCAATTTGCTCGGGTCGAGTCGGGCTCCTTTTTCGTTTGTTTGGGCGCGACCGGCGCGGTGGAGGCCCCTGACGCCGGTCGCCGAGTCGAGGTGACTTTCTTTCAGCGAGCC